AATATGCATCTCATAAAATAATTCACCTTATGAGCTTGAAAAATAAAAGCAATTTTGTGAAAGTTTTGTTCCATCAAATATAGGGGAATTTGATCTCAACTTGAAGTGTTATATAAAAACAGATTTAATTTCTTAAATCTCAGCATTCTGTCTGATTTGCAAATAAAATGTTTGAACCTTTTCATGAAGAAGAAATGACATTTTTTGCCCCCAAAGTCGTTGCTACCCACCATGCAAAATTCAAGATTTACATATAATTAGGCTGACAAATGTTCTGCATGAAGAAAATGTAAACATTATTTTCTGTATCATTTCTTTCCTCTATTTAATTCTATTCTAACCAGAAAAAAACCAACAAGGAAAAGTAACCACGGATGTCTTGGAGGCAGGGAAAAAAATACCTGCAGATATCCTGATGTCTTTCTGCAAATGACATGAATTACATATTTGCGACAGAAGTGATGATGTAGTTATACAACTGCTTTATTTGCAATATGATATCATGGCGTATGTACCATTTGAGGTAACTGTGGCTGATGGATATAACTAATGACTAAAAAACAACAGAAAATCTAACAATCATGAAAGGTACTTGAAGTCAAGATTAAGCTGTGCATTATTAAATTAACTTGTAAACATGGGTATTTTTTTTCTCTTCCATCTCCCATTACAATAAGTTGATTAAAGGCTTGTGTTAGAGATTTTTTTTTTTCCAATTTACATTAAGCTTCGTTTGTTTTCTTATTTGGCACTGGGATTACATGAAAGGTCTTTTTCTTGGTTTTTTTTTTTTTTAATATGATGAAACAGGGGACAGTTATTAATGATAACACTGATAACAATTCTGAATTTTCCATGCTGTAAAGGGTAACATTTGTAACATCAATTGCTTAGTCTTCTCTCCATGCAAGTTTTATTTTCTTTAGTAGATTGCTATGCCACCTTTTCTCCCTGAGATCAAGGTAGCTTACATAGGGTTTTCTCATTGTGCTATCCTTGGAAAAACTTACCTAGTCAGCTAAACTGAGAGTGATTGGCTGAAATTTGGCCAGTGAACTGCGATCCCAGTCCTAATCCAATACTTTAACTGCCACACCATACTGGCATATGCAGATGATCTGAGAAGCAGGCGACAGAACTTTTGTGAAGCACAGAAAAACAAAAATAAAGTTGCTTACTAGTGAATGTTGACAATGGTACTATAGTACATATAGTATATATTTATGAAACTTCACAAACTTTTGTTGTGATTCAGAACTGCAGTAGACAACATATGAGAAATGGGTAATGGATAAGGATATTTTAGTTTTGAATGGGGTACAGAAATTGGTAGCTTATTAGTAACAACTAAGTTTGGCTTCTTGGATACTTCAAAATGTGATCGCTGCTCAGAGTTACATGCAGAATTCTTAGATATGGATAATTCATAGTACAGGAAGTCCTTGACATACGATTATTTGTTTAGTGATCGTTCAAAGTTAGGATGGTGCTGATAAAAATGACTTACAACCTATCCTCATACTTATTACTGTCATGAATGTGAGGTTCAAACTCACACTACCTCTTCAGTTACAGGATCAAAATTTGGGCACTTGGAAATTGGTTATGTATTTACAACAGTTGCATCATCCTGGGTCATGTGATCACCATTTGAAACTTCTCCTGGGGGCTTCCAACAAGTTAAAACAATGGGGGAAGCTGGATTTGCTTTGTGACCTTGGCAAAAAGGATTGTATAACCAGGTATGACTCTTTTAATAACTGCATCTCTTAGTAACACAAGTTCCATTCCCAATTATGGTTGTAAATCAAGGACTATTTGTATTATTTTCAAAATGTTTCCAAAATTTGCCTGAACTCTTTCCATATTTCCTAATTCTGAATTCACATCAGAGTGTAAAATACAAATAGGATGGTTCTAATTGGTTTTCAGTATTGTGGTTAATTGGTTCTGGAGAAGACTCCTGAGAGTCCCTTGGACTGCAAGGCGATCAAACCGGACAGTCCTAGAGGAGATCAACCCTGACTGCTCTTTAGAAGGCCAGATCCTGAAGATGAAACTGAAATACTTTGGCCACTTAATGAGAAGGACTCACTGGAGAAGAGCCTAATGCTGGGAACAACTGAGGGCAAAAGAAGAAGGGGACAACAAAGAATGAGGTGGCTGGATGAAGTCACTGAAGCAGTCGGCATGAGCTTAAATGGTCTCCGGAGGTTGATAGAGGACAGGAAGGCCTGGAGGAAAGTTGTCCATGGGATCACGATGGGTCGGACATGACTTTGCAATTAACAACAACTGTGGTTAATTATGGTTCAGTAAGTTAAAGGCAAATTGCAACTTCAACTTACATGGTTGAGAGGGCAGGAAAAAAAGAATGTGCCACGGCTGTCCGTATCCACTCCTCCAATAGTCTATTTTTTTCAATCTGTTTATTGTTTGAAAACTGAAGGAGGTAAACGTGATGCCATCAATGGTGGTGGTAGGCTTTATGCCAATCATAAGCAAGCAATATGTCCAGCCTCCTACCGCCCCATGGGAATTTCCAGGCCTGAAAGTCACAACTGGGGATATGGGATGTTATGTAGCAAATTGGGAGGACAGACGCGCCCTATGTTGATGTAGGAGGAAGAGGTGGCCCATGAAGTAAGTATTCAGAGTAAGATTGTTGGGAGGGTAAGAATATATGTGCTGATGGAATGCAGTGGTGACTTCTTCAGCCTGATTGAGTCAACAATAACTAAGACAGAAGTTGGAAGTCTATAAAAGCCATAAAACTGTAGCCATAACTGTAGCCATAAAACTACAAAACTGCCCATCTACTTGTGGATTAAATAAGATATCATGCTCTCTATTTCCTCAATCCCCACCATTACCATCTGCCAATCTGCAGCTGTTTTATACAGGATGTACAATCCAAGTGGTATTTGTCACTGCTCTCAGAAGACCATACTTTCTGCAAGGAGTATCTCTATTGTTGCTAAAAGATGGAAGATGAATTATGCATAATCAATCTGAGAAATCACATCCTGAGAAATCTTTCCAAATGCTCCTTGTAGTAATTGATCAATTAGACATTTTGTAAATTGCAATTAAGCAAACATAGAGTTGAGAATTCAAACGCAAAAATAAATCCCAAACAATATCAGACAGAGTTTTGTCTTGGGCGTCCTCCTGGATTCACGGCTGTCTTTAGAAGAGCACTTGACAGCCGTGACTGGGAGGATTTTTCATCAGGTCCGCCTGATTCGCCAGTTGCGTCCCTTTCTGGATCGGGACTCGTTACGCACGGTCACTCATGCCCTTGTCACCTCCCGCCTGGACTATTGCAATGCTCTCTACATGGGGCTCCCCTTGAGGAGCACCCGGAGGCTCCAACTGGTGCAGAGTGCGGCCACGCGGGCGGTAATGGGAGCGACATGGCGTTCCTATGTAACACCCCTCCTGCGCGAGCTGCACTGGCTCCCGGTGGTCTTCCGGGTGCGCTTCAAGGTTTTGGTTACCACCTTTAAAGCGCTCCATGGCTTAGGACCTGGGTACTTGCGGGACCGCCTACTACCACCAATAGCCTCCCACCGGCTGGTACACTCCCATAGAGAGGGGCTCCTCCGGGTGCCGTCAGCCAAACAATGCCGACTGGCAGCCCCCAGGGGGAGAGCCTTCTCTGTGGGGGCACCTACTATCTGGAACGAGCTCCCCCCAGAGATACAGAGGATCCCGGATCTGCGTACCTTCCGCCGCGCTTTAAAGACCTTACTATTTCACCAGGCGGGCCTGGCCTAATTTTCTCCCTCTTTTATAAAAGATTTTTAATTTTTAAATATCTTTTAGTATTTTATACATTCAATTTTAAATTGGTTTTAAAAGTTTGGGGTTTTAAATTTGTCGGGGCCAAAATTATTTAATTTGATTTTATCCTACTTTTAAATTTTGTATGTATGTGTTTTATTGTTTGGCTGTGCACCGCCCTGAGTCCTTCGGGAGTAGGGCGGTATAGAAATCAAATCAAATAAATAAAATAAATAAATTGATCTATGCGGAACCTTTCAAGTGTGGTGTTGATCACTGGCTACTTATATTAGACTAAATGGTTCTGTCCTTGGTGCCAAGAAAAAAAAACCCTGAATCTCTTATTGCTGTGAATGAGAACTACGGCACAAACATCCTGTTTTACAAAACCTGCATACAGTTAACCCTTGACTTACGACCATTTGTTTACTGACAATTCAAAGTTACGACAGCCTCAGAAAAAATGACTTATGACCCATCCTCAAAATCATAATCATTGTACCCACCGCCTTTCAATTCAGACACATTGCAATCAACACATAGTTGTGATAGTTGCGGTGTCTTGCAGTCACGTGATTGGAGTTTGCGATCTTCCCAGCTGGCTTCCGACAAGCAAAGTCATTTGGGGAAGCCAGGTTTTATTTAATGACCATGTGATTCACTTAACAATGTGTGAGTCGTTTAATGGTCACAGTAAAAAGGGTCGTAAAATCCGATCTGGTCTTAATGATTCACTTTATAATGGCACTGGCTTCTGACAAAAATGCCAATCGCAATTGTCGTTGTACACTAAGAGCTACCTGTACATCTGGGAGAAAGAATCGTGAAAAAACCCTTGAAATACAAAATATTTACAAGTAATTAGAATACTGCCTATTTTTTTTTCCAATGAAAAGCTTGTTTCTAGCAAGCAGAAGTTCAATTCTTTTTAAGAGAAAAAGGAAGATGGATTAATATAGTCCTACAAAGAGAGCATATTTTTCTACAATGCTTTTTGAAGGTCTTCCAAAAAGGACCTCCAAATATTGGTTATATTGGTTGTAACCTCCTCCAAAAAGGAGGATTGGTTATAAACTGTGAGGTCCTCCCTCACTGCTTATAACCAACTAAGTCAGTGTTTCTCAACCTTGGTAGCTTGAAGATGGGTGGACTTCAAATCCCAGAATCCCCCAGCCAGCACTGCTGGCTGGGGGATTCTGGGAGTTGAAGTCCACCCATCTTCAAGCTACCAAGGTTGAGAAACACTGAACTAAGTTATAACCAAGGAGAGCAACCAAGGAGGGCAAGTAGAGAAACTCTACTGAATTATTATAATACTATACAGAAGTGAAGAGGGTTCCTTAAGTTCTCTGTTTATGCAAATATATCTGTGAGGCTTCTATACGAGGATTCAAATATGAATTCAAAAAATAGCTCAAGGTCTCTGGGATCCCTCTGGGTTAGTTTAGCTTGGCAGTTTAGTTGATTTATGAATGGCTCAGCTGATGTGCAACCCCAGTTATGATCTCAAATCTCAAAGAAGGATTTCTCTTGCAACGATTTCTATCTTTTCTGCCGAGCATGAGGCAGTCCATTCCTGCAATGAAGGAAGCCTTGCTTGCTCTCTCTCTCTCTCCTCCTAGTTCCTGATCTTGAACAAGCTCTCTCTTTTTTTAAAACCTACTGAACTGATTCAGCAGTGGTAAATTAAGAGGTTTTTTTTCCTCCCCCCTTTTTATGAATCAAATTACTGTGCCTAGCTCGGAGCTGCTTGCTTTTGTTGTTAGTGTTTGTTTTGTTTCTTTTGTACAGACTAGGGACCGTGCAATGAATTTTACTTCTTACAGCCTAAAAAAAAAGGCTTTTACTTACAACATATTGCCATGCTTCAGCCAATAGCCACAATAGGCACTGAAAGAAATGGGTTGAAAAATGGGGGACATTTTATCATGCCACCTTCACACCTCTTCCTGAGGTTTCTAGAAACATAAGAAATGATGGCCTGGTAGGATTGTCTTTCTTTTTGAAAACAACTGGACAACACATTCTAAAAAGGAGGAAGGTATTTCCTTTTGTTTCAGGTATATGTGTGTGTGTGTGTACATATTGTAGGGACTAATAATCAGTTGGGGGGCACAATGACAGCAGTTAAAGTCACGAAGCTTGTCAGCTGCAATGCTGAGAGCTCAGGTTTGAGACCCGAATGCTGTGTGACGGAGTGAGGCTCTCGCCCTAACTCCTGCCAAGCTAGCAGTTCAAAAGCATGCAAATGTGAGTAGATAAATAGGTACCATTTCAGTGGGGCGGTAACGGCATTCTCAATGTATAGTCATGCTGGCCACATGACCATGGAACAATGCTGGCTCCCTTGGCTAAGAAATGGAGCTTAGTATTGCCCCCTAGAATCAGGGACAAGTGGACAGGGGAAAGTTTTAGCTTTTAATGATCAGTTAGTGGGACAGCAGGGATTGACTTGTTCTCAGTATTTGAAGAATATAGTTCAACTGAAGAACTATAGGGTGTTCCTTTTCAAATTATTTGAGAGAGATTTGGGTGCTATATCGTATCCCTTTATCCCAAACCATCTTTGGAATTAAAAGGCAATTTAATCACATTTTCACTCCAGCCCAATGATCCACAGAAGGATCATTCCTTGCATTCCTTTCTGGATTAATCTTTGCAACTGGCTTTTGAATGGCATTATTCTAAAAATTGGGCAGAGCCAGAATACTAAAATTGATTTAATTAATCTAGATGAAATGGATAAATTAAGATATAATTAAAATTAAATAGAGTTAATGAACTACATCAAATATCACTCTCTACATATTAAACATTTTCTGCCTTCTGTTACATGAACATTATGATGTAATTTGTGACGGTATTTTGATAGCTGCCCTCAAAATCTTGCAAAGGTAGTGCATTGACAAGCTGAGGGGCTTTGTTCTGTTCTTATATTACAGGAGGAAAATGTATCTGTATAATTACCGCTTGTCTTGCTGAGCATTATATCCAAAAAGATAATTTTTCCACCATCCTAATTCTACCAGGTTATAGGGCAGGTAGCCCTTGTTTTATAACAGATTATTTTGTAACTGTTCAAAGTTATCACAGCACTGAAAAAAATGACTTATGACTATTTTTTACAAATATTGCAGCATCCCCATGCCATGTGATTAAAATTCAGATGCTCAGCAACTGACTCATATTTATGACGGTTGCAGTGTCCCAGGGTCATGTGATCACTTTCTGACAAGCAAAGTCAATGGGGAAGTCAGATTTATTTAACAACTGGGTGACTAACTTAGCAACTGCAGTGATTCACTTAATAACTGTGCCAAGAAAAGTCGTTCAATGGGGCAAAACCCGTGGTGAAATCCAGCAGGTTCTGATAGGTTCTGGAGAACCGGTAGCAGAAATTTTGAGCAGTTCGGAGAACCGGCAAATACCACCTCTGGCTGGCCCCAGAGTGGGGTGGGAATGGGGATTTTGCAATATTCTTCCCCCTGGAATGGGGTAGGAATGGAGATTTTGCAGTATCCTTCCCTCAGGAGTGGGGTGGGAATGGAGATTTTGCAGTATCCTTCCCCTGGAGTGGGGTGGGAATGGAGATTTTACAGTATCCTTCTGCCACGCCCACTAAGCCACACCACACCACGCCCACCAAGCCACGCCCACAGAACCGGTAGTAAAAAAAATTGGATTTCACCACTGGGCAAAAGTCAATAAACGTCTTACTTAGCAACATAAATTTTGGGCTCAATTGCAGTCGTAAGTAGAGGACTACCTGTACCAAGGTCTAATCATCCATTTTTTTTACTCCTTTAAAGCCTTGTAAGAATGTATAGTTGGTGCTCAGAAGACTTTTAAGTTCAAGAACCTTCAAAGGATAAATATAAACTAACCTACTAGCATGAAAATACACTGGGAAAGAACAGACATGTGAAGTTCTTCCTTCTGATGGTGAAGATACAAGAAGATAGGTTAAAGCCAAAACTAGATGCCAAGAAATTGGCCATTTTCTTTTTCTCTATGCACCTAAAACTGTAAAGTATGAATGTGACAAATATGCTTCAAAACATGATTTATATAAGTACCTGGTTAAAGAAAGAAGACTAGTTGCTATTGCCAGTTCAATATCTTCTTAGCAGTAATTCTGAATGCATTGACACATACAGAAGAACCTCTGGTCACAACCATAATATGTTCCATGACTTTGGTCGCAAACTGATTTGGTCGTGACCCGAACCTAATTTTGGAAATTTGGCACTTACAAAAAAAGAAAAAAAAATGGCACGGAAGGGAAGATTGGTCATGAAAAGAAAAAAAAAATTGTGAATTTTTTGGTCGGAACCCGATTTGGTCGTGGTCAGAAGCGTACATGACTAGAGGTTCTATTGTACTCCAATGTCTCAGCAAGTGACCACACGTAGCAATACATGGCTGACCATGGAAATGAAGTAAGGTTGGATCTGGTTAATATTTGGATGACAGACCTTCAGGATATTTCCAACTATAAACTAGACTAGGAAACAAAAATAAAGAAATGAAAAAGAAGGCAGTAGCAGTGATTTTTCAGGAAAAAAGTCATGGATAATCACCATGAGTCAAGCTCAATGTGAAGGAGACATAACTTTTTGCTTACTTTTTGTAATCTTTCCAAGGAAGCTGAAGCATATCCTAAGAGAGGCAAGGGTTGTTTCAGAAACATGCCTTGAACTCTGATGTGATCAGCATCAGTCTTTCTAAATCATCTCTACCAGTAGGGATCAGTTCTGATGCACTAATTCCAACATTCTTCCATTGAGAATTTTCTGCATAATACTGTACATAGGACATTTTGGATGTAGAAAGTATACATTCCTGGTGGAACTTTCCCGCTATAGCATTATGCTCACCCCTACAAGGATCCTCCTGAGGACACAAGAGAGATGGAAGTTTATGCTGTAATTTTGTATGTAGCCCTATACCACCAAAAATGAGGATGATTTAATAACACAATTAAGTTAATGTCCAGAAATATGAAGAGAACACAAGTATCAAAATGTACACAGGATAAATTAAGGCAAATGTGCCTTTCTTAGCATTCAACTGCACATAAAATGGCCTAGCATGTACTAAAGCCTCACATTATATTAATAGTAATTTGTAATGGAAATGACTCACCAGAAGACATGTTTCTGGTGAAAAGACTAAGCATCTGAATCACGCAACAATGGTAGAGCCAACATGAGATGTAATAGTCCATCCATGAACTATTACCTGCAGAGGTAATCTCTGAATGGAGCAGAGTGCTCAAAACATACTCATGCTTTTTTTTTCTATCAATCAAAGATCTTTAAAATTAGGATTACAATGAATCCCACCCATGGTCAAGGATCTCAAGTATTTTTAACTGATTAATGTCCTTGAAAGCTTATTCATAACATTTTTTTTTTGCAAGCAAGAGATCTTGTCATTCCTGTTGAACTGTACTGTAATATTAAATCTTTCTGAAGGAAAGATAGTTGTAGGGTGCAATTCTTGTTTTGATGTACAGCAGAAATACACATGCATATCAGCACAATCAAAGATGAAGACACACTCCTAAACTACAGTCCACTTCAGGTACTGTTTGATCTTCTGAGGTAAAAATGTTATTTCAGTCTAATATGGCACATATCTCATCGACACAATTACATCACAAACAAAAGATGGCCTTAGCATGGCATTGCAGCACACCATTCTTCTAACAATTAAGTTTTGCTCCAAGTAGGATGATGTACTTAATATTTTACTAAGATAACAATGACATTGCCTTAATATACAATATATAATAAACTCTAAACACACCAAATAGGTATGATTTTTTTTTATAAATCCTTGATTAAATATACTTATCTACCAATGACACTTTATATGTATAGAGACTGGTAAAAATATATAGATATGTATCCAGACTTTTGTTTCGTACAGTTTAGAAATCATTCATCCATCTGCGAAGTAGACGGAGCAGAGGATTATGAACTAGGTTCCACAAGGATAAAGTTCTCGAATACAGTACCTAGATGAGGCTTCTTTCATTTTTCAGGAACCAAACAGCTCTCAAAATCCAGACTGTGAAAATTAGATGTCTCCAAAAATATACCAAGGATTGATATTTAGCTCATTGTCTCTCTGACTATTTCTTTTCTTTCTTCTTCTTCTTCTTTTTCCCACAGTGAATTATTTTATAATCCCTGTGATGAGCTCTGGCAAGGTTTGTGGCAATCTTTTAAACCAGCAAATCTGAGTTACAATGCCTACAGCTTGCTAAATGGAAACTGCGAGAAACAAATGAAGCAGTGTGGCAGCTGAAATATGGCTTTGTATAAAAAGGATGACATCTATCTAGGGTCTGATTTTCTATTTTTGTCTGAGTTCATTCTGTTCTTTTATAGGGCCTTCATCTGGCATGTTAATGGCCACTTTATATTTTTTTCCTGTACTATATAATTCCTATCATTACTTACAAATGCACAAAGAAGGAAACGACTATTTACAAACAGGTTGGCACTTAAGAGAATATATTATTGATATTTTCTCCTGTTTATTTTTTCCCCCACCCTGTTTTCCAGCTCAGTGGTAGCTAGGATGCCTGGCAAAACCTGCTGCCTCATTAGAATATGCTACGTTAACATGAAAAATAGGATTCCAACTTGTACATTCTTTCTCAATGGATGGCTCTGAAAAGCAATACCTTCCACCCTCATTCATATTTGATGCTCAGACTGCTAGTCAAGCGAAAGCAATGGCTGCATGTTTTCTTCTTCGTTTTTATCCATGCGCTTGAGCACTCCAGGGTCCACAACAGACTGAGACCTAGAAAAACATTAAGCAAAGATCTATTGTGACTCATTTTAGCGACAACAAAAAGGCAAGCTCCTTCGCGTTATTAAAAAAAAGCAAGACTGCAATCAGAAAATATGCTTGGGGAATATGATGGATGATGCAAGACCCTCCTGAAAAGAAATCCAGCCATGTTTCCTAAAGCAGCGATGAAAAAAAAAAAGTGATTTAAAGGTCAGATTTGGCCAGCAGGCCTCTCTTTTCAGTCTATTGTGGCTTTTGCTCACATGCATTCCCCACCTAAATGCCAACCTTCTTTAAAAATAAAAAAAAAGCTGGTTCGCTTTGAAGCTGCAACTTCCAGATGGGTGGGAGTGATTTTCTTCCCAGTTACCTCCCTCACACCTTGCCTTTGCCATTAGAGGAGGCAAAGGCTGAATGAAGTTTGATTCCATGTTGCTAGGGAGCACTTTTCTGCCTCTCATTTTGTATGGTTCCTGCTCTTCATTCCCAGGAGCCCTTCGCTCAAAAGTCTTTATTATAGGTGGGAAGACAAGCTGATGAACTAGAAAAAAGTGCATCTGAAAGTTTACAGCTGAAAGTCTTCAGAGGAATGGGCAAAGGTTGGTTAGGGAGCAGCCTTTTACATATATCATCCATCTGAAAGAGGGTTTTGGTGGGGGGTGGGGAGGGGTTCCATCAAAAGTTGATGGGCAATTGACAGCTTGCGCAGAATGACGTTCTTATGAGGGACAGTCCATAGCTTATTGTGCATGAAATTGCACATGAATACTGTATGTGAAAAGGGGGGTCAAAGGCTCTGTTACAAAATAAGATCTAAAAGAGGGCGTTGCAGCACTTGCCCGAAGGGGAGTGGGCAATTCAAGTAGAATTAGGCATGGATGCTGTCCTTCAGCAAAGTTCAGCTCAGCAAACCTGGAATATTTCACAGCTTAGCAACTCAGCAACACACTGCAACCATTGTGGAGCCATATCAGTAGTGGGCTGTCCCCAGTTCGCACCGGTTCTCTAGAACTGGTAGTAAAACCGGCGGGAGGCTCCGCCCACCGACCCTGACTCATGAAAACGCTTCTGCGCATGCGCAGAAGAGCATGCACATGGCCCCGCTGCGAACTGGTAGTAAAGGTAAGTAGAACCCACCCCTGAGCTATATTGCTCTTCTATATGCAGATCCCAACATGGAAGTGCAGGTCTATATGCAATTCCTTCCCCAGAAATACTATCTAACTTGGTTTTGAAAGAATTGTATGGCATCTGGATAAATGGTGTGGGAGATATGCAAGTTTGGTATGATGAATGCATGCTAACTATACCCTTGTGCACACTAAGCACAGGGGTGCTAGGATCATGTTCAGGGGTGGGTTTGCTTTGTGCTAGGGTCATGTTCAGGGGTGGGTTCTACTTACCTTTACTACCAGTTTGCAATGGGAGCGCATGCATGTGTGCACTTCTGCGCATGTGCAGAAGCTTCTGCGCATGCGCAGATCATTAATTGTGACATCCGGGTGGGTGGGAGGAGCCTCCCACCGCTTTTACTACCAGTTCACAAGAACCGGACAGAACTGGGAGCAACTCGCCACTGGTCATGTTCCTGCCTAAAGTAAATTCACCTAATGTAAAGCGAGGAAAATCTGTGTATGCACGAGAAAACTTGCCTGTTTACGTGGGTTTCAAGCTAGCACTCAGCTTCAAAGCTGACCTTTAAAATCAACTGATTTTCCCACTCCCCCTCATCCTTAAATGGTCCCCTTTATCAATTTTATTTTCATTGTCTAAATAAATGATGATGGCGTTCTAACAATGGAAACCAATTGGTCGATGTTCTGGCCTCCATGTTCAGAGGCTAGAGATCATGAAGTGAGAAACGAATGACAGCTGTCAGCAAATGCGGAGCGAATACTAATCCCCAATGGGGGGAGGGGAAGGGAAAGGATAAGCAACAAGGACAGTTGAGAGGGCTCAGTCCAAGGCCCTGGAGAGCATATGCTTCTCTAAATTTTCCAGGAAGGGCATTCTTTAGTTTCTGAGGAAAACAGTCAGGGTGGCTTGTGTACGTACAGCAAATTTCCCAGGTCTGATAAATTTACAAAAATAGTTTTTCTCCCTCTCTCTTTTTTTGGTGGATCTGTCTGAAAAATGAAAAGTTGGCCTTCTCTTTGATTATGCACAAGCATAATGATGCATAGATGCTTTGTGAATAGAGTAGTATATCCTCTAGTGTAGTATATCCCTATATCCAGAGAGGAAGCATCTTCAGCCATAATACTGTTTTATATCCCCCTCCATGCCCTCTTTCTCCTCCTATAGTTTAAAGTAAACTATAGTTTATAGTTTACTTTATTGCCACAGCACCTCGTACAACGAAATTAAATGCCATCTTCAGTGTACATCATACATAAGAAAACTATAAAAATAAAACAAAAACACACATTCTTCACATTCTATGCAATTGAATTGAAACCCCCTAATACTGCATTAATATTACACTATACAGTAGAATTCAATATAGTTACTGCTCTGGGATAGAAGCTGTTTTTCAGCCTATTTGTCCTTTTTTTTTATTGTCCTGTGCCGTCTGCCAGATGGTAATAGTTCACACACACAAAAGAAAAGGGTGCCCAGGATGAGATGGATCTTTAAGAATGTTTTGAACTTTCTTAAGGCAGAGGGAGCTATAAAGCTCTTCCAAAGAGGGGAGAGGGCAACCACTGATCCTCTGGGCAATGATGTTAATGATGTAATCCTCTGGGCAATGACATTGGCCCTCTGGAGTGCTGTCCTATTTGCCACTGTGCAATTGGCAAACCATACACAGGTGCAGTAAGTTAAAATACTCTCTATAGTGCAGTGGTAGAAGGTCAGCAGCAATTTTTCATTCAGTTGTTGCTTCCTGAGAAGACTCAGGTAGTATAATCTCTGGCTGGATCCTTTGGACCAGTGCTGCAATGTGAGCACCCCAGGTCAGGTCTATATAGAGAAAGGGAGTTTTCTGCTTACAAATGGGAGTTGAAAGCAACTGTTTTGATCTGAGCAAGATTGGAAGCAATTATTTAATCCTCCGTATAGAGAAGGACTGGGAGGAGAGTTGAGTTGCCTTTCAAGCAAAGGAAGGAATACCAGAGGATGGGGGATTCAATTCAAGGAGGAAAGAAAGGGTTCCAGACTGACATGTGAGCAATTTGAATCAAAGGTTTACTTAGCTTCCCATCCCTAATTTTTTTGGAATGGCCCCATAATGTAAGAGGAAGGCATCAGTACTTAAGAACAGATATTTGACCTGAGAGATCACCTAGGCATTTCCTGCTTCAAAAGATGCCATTAACTTACCTCTTCATGGATTTGGGTGAGAGCTCCTTTTCAACTTCTTTTGCAGATGTGTTATAGGAGTCCACACTATATTCACTGTCATCATCATACTCGTGATCTAGCAGCGTTCTTGCCCATGTGCCCATGTCGTAAGGTGGAAGCATTCCTCCAAATTCGGAAGGGAGAATTTCAGGATGAATCAACTGGTGCAGACTGTTGAGGTTGTTTCCATGGAGAAATATCTAGGGGAAAGAGGGATGTAATACATTGTAAAATGATCAGAATCTATAATAATAAACATAGCTATCTGAAAAGCTGCATAGCTCAAAGATGTGGTTTTTATCACAGAAGATTTCCCAATTGTTTCAGAGGATTTTTTTAAAAATGCAATTGTTTGCCTAAAGATGCTGCTGAGAAATTACTCACATTTCTACTTCCAAGTAGCATCTGGAATCCAATGAAAATGAATCCTGTTCTATAATCCAAATAGCTCTAACCACACTCCTTCTCAAATGTACAAGGCAAATTATGGGGAACATCCAAGCTATTTTGGGCTATGACATGTCAGGGTGCCTGATGCTCAAAGGGGAAAATAGTACACACCTAATTTGTCATTGCTATGTAGGAACTTTTTAAATGGATTCATAAGGCTTTCAGCCCCCTTCAGGGATTACTAACATATTTGTAAAGAGGCTCGCAATTTGGGTGTCCTCCTAGATTCCCAGCTGTCTCTGGAAGATCATTTGATGGCCATGACCAGGGGGGCTTTCGCACAGGTTCGCCTGGTGCGCCAGTTGCGCCCTTTCCTGGACCGAGATGCCCTTTGCATGGTCACTCATGCCCTGGATACTTCTCATTTGGATTACTGCAACTCTCTCTACATGGGGCTGCCCTTGAGGTGCACCCAGAGGCTCCAGCTGGTCCAGAATGCGGCTGCGCAGGTTGTTATGGGAGCTCCCCATTACTCCCATGTAACACCTCTCCTGCGCGAACTGCACTGGTTACCGGTGGTCCTCCGGATCCGCTTCAGGGTGCTGGTACTCACCTATAAAGCCCTACATGGTTTAGGTCCAGGATACTTGCAGGACCATCTCCTTCCTGCCTCCCACCATTCTGTCCGCTCACATAGGGCTGCCCTCCGCAGGGTACCGTCAGCCAGATAATGTCAGCTGGCGACGTCCAGGGGTAGGGCGTTCTCTGTGGGCGCTCCTACCCTCTGGAATGAGTTACCCACCAAGCTCCGGATGGCGCCTGATCTCCGCTCCTTCCGTCAGAGCCTAAAGACTTGGTTATGTCAACAAATGGGCTGAATTCTGATTCTGTGGTTTTATTGTTTTGATTTTAATTGGTATTAATTAGACTCTTCTTTTATCATTATATGTTTCTAGCTTGTGTTCACCACCCTGAGTCCTTTGAGAGAAGGGCGGCATATAAATTTGTGATAAATAAATAAACAAACAAACAAGCAAATACAAACTCCACCCCATTGGTAATGCACCATGAAATTACACCCATATCCAACAGGAGCAGAGCTTGAGACCCAATGGTGCAATGCATCTCTCTCCCCATTTTGATCTGAAGCCTTCAGATGCCCACGATCCACTGAATAACGAAAAGTCCAAAAAAGATTACTAATTATGCTTTATTAATTATCCAAAGGTTTTGACCAGGTAGACCACAACAAATTGTGGTTAACCCTTAGAAACAGGAGTATACCCAGGCCTTTCCCTCTGCCTATTGAAGAAAGTGTATGATGATCAGGAAGTAACAATTGGAATGGAAGACTAAGCAACAATTTAAAAAAGAGATCAGTGGAAGACAAGGTGATTGGATGATATCACTGATGATAGAAGCAACGTTTACAAGAATTCAAAGCAGTTACTGACAGACATTCCTATTAGTAGAATTGTACCCATTAGGTCACAAAGAGAAGCAACTGGAAACCGAAGAATTTAACTGCCTTCATCTTCTATAGAATTTGGTATTACTGTATGCTTCCAAAGAGCAAGCTTATTAAATTGTCCATTTCAAGATGCTTTTGAAACTTAGCTGCAGCTAAAAGAAAGAGACCTTGGGATTTTAGTGAGAGGCATGGTTTTTGGGTGAATGTATGCATGTCACTCTGTGTGTGGGTTTACTGGTGTTTTCACCTTGTGCTTAGGATCCAATTCAAAGTAGAATAATGTTGGGGTTTTTTTTACTATTTTTACATGTTGTGTTGATAAGCATCAGACAACAAATACAGAAACAAAGTGAATCTCTAGAGTTGAATCACCGCTTATCTTTAAGCTGCTGGATGAGATTCCAATGAATACATCTGCCACGGACTGTGTGAATATATAGCAATACTTTTTACCAAGATTACATAGCTTAATTCTCCCATTTCAGAACAGTGTTTTTAAGATGAACGAAGTCTGCTTAGACAGCTGTGCAAATAACTATTCAGCTTTTAATAATTGGGACTGACTTGTGTTCTTCAAGAAACAATGAGTTGAAAATCCATTTTTATCCTTTGCTGTGTTCTAAAATGTGTTCGTATTTGTATGTACACGGAGAGTTTATGCATCAGAGACAAATTCCTTGTGTATCCAATCACATTTGGCCAAGAATATTCTAACTCTATTAATGTTTTATCTAGCATAGGTATATAATTAAAGTCACAAAACAAGACACTGGAAACATGTATTTGTTCTTTAGTTTTCAAGGCTATCAGTCCTTTCATAAAGTTATGAAATACGATGGAAACAAAGACGAATAAAATTACCCTCTTCCTTGTCTTCTCCTTTAAAAATGGACGTATAACTGTATAAAGGGCATGGATGTACCATGGCTGATTGACAAAATGAATTCCTCCAAATCGAGCTGGGAAACTGTCCTAGAAGAGAACATAAAACAAACAGTAGATATTTTATCTTATTTGCCACTTTCTCTATATCTTTAGCATTGCTGTGAAAACAGGTAGTGCTCGACTTACGACCACAATTGAGCCCAAAGTTTCTGTTGCTAAGCGAGACCATTAAGTGAGCTTTGCCCCATTTTATGACCTTTCTTGCCACCATTGTTAACTGAATCACTGAAGTTGTTAAGTTAGTAGCGCAGCTGTAAAGTGAAACTGCCTTTTCCATTGAAGTTGCTTCTCAAAAGATCAGAAAAGGGGATCCCATGATCCCAGGACACTGCAAGCGTCATAAATATGAGACAGTTGCCAAGTGTCTGAATTTTGATCACATGGCCATGGGGATGCTGCCATGTTTGTGTGAAAAATGATCATGTCACTTTTTTTTAGTGCTGTTGTAACTTCGGTCAGTAAATGAACCGTTGTAAGTTGAGGACTACCTGTATAGGATCATATAAATTCATCCTCACAATAAACTTGTAGATAGGTTTCACTATAATTATTCGGATACAAACCATTACAGATAAGCTTTTTGTTTAAGATCATGTCTTCAGACTAGTGATTTTCTTTTGCAAGCTCATTAAAAAAAGTTGTCTTCCACTCCAGGACAATAATTCTGTATCCAGCTACAAATTTGTGGAAAGAATTCTGATAAAGAGAGAGGACGTTTTCTACCAAGCAACAATGCACTTATTTTCTGCCTATATTATTTGCCACCATATAAACTTTCCATTTTATATGCACAAATGTACATGCATTTATTTTTATTTGAAATAACGATTAGGTTTTTACATACAGTATGTTCTTAAGCATCTTAGGAATCATTGATTAAAAATTGGAGGAGGGAAGAAGAGGATTTAAATCCTTTAATAAATTAAAACAGCAGCTCGATTATTCCATGTTAAATTATTTATGCATATAACTGTTGGGTTTCAGTTGAATAACCGAAGTGTGAACACTGCATGCTTATTTGTCATTATCTCTCTAGTTCTTAGCTGAACACCTCCAGTGAGGTTTTTCACAGTGTGTTCTATTGTTCAATGACTCCTAGTGTCAAGAAATTAATCTAAATATTTGGCCTGAACTTCCTTCATTTTCATTTCAATCCTCCTCCTTCAATCATTTCAATCCTCTAATCTTCTTCTGCTCTAAATTTAAGAATAGAGCTGTCCTTTATTGTAAGTAGAACCTTTTGGTTTGTTGAAAATTGTGACCACATCTTACCCCAGGCATCTGTTTTGTAAGTTAAAAATTAAAGCTTTTCAAAACCCTCAGTAATCAGCTTGATAGTTGGCCCCCTTATCTTGACATACCTCTTCCATTCCACTTCAACTTCTTCACCTCTCTTTTAAACAAATATCCTACCAAGAACTGGACACAGTACTCCAGATGCAGATGAATCAGTATAGAAGGCATAGTCCTAGAAACAATAGGCCCCAAAATCCAGACCCACTCAGTCTTTCCAGGATTCAGTTGAAACCTGTTGTTACGCATCCAGATTCTTACAGTCCAGGAGTGGGTTCTACTTACCTTTACTACTGGTTCACAATGGGATCGCGTGCACACAATTTCTTCACTCGTGTGCGCGCGAAGTTTTTGCGCATATGCAGATCGCCTATGATGACATCTGGGGCAGTGGGCGGAGCCTCCCACCAGTTTTACTACCGGTTCTTGTGAACCGGTCTGAACCGGGAGCAACCCACCACTGTTACAGTCCCCATACACCAAATAAGATGTTCATGCTATTGCTTAATTCACCAAAGGCTGAGATAGCATACTGATGATGAACTAACAAGCTGGTCTCATGTAAATGTTGAAAAGAAGAGAGACACTGAACTCTGCAGCCTACTCCCCTTTCTAATATATAATCATGTCTAATATTAGATTATCAGTTTGCATCACAGGAAATTCTCCCCGATTCAGTGAGTTCCATCAGTATTCTTATTCAGCTATGTTGTGCATTTCTTTAAAACTCTTAAAATTGTTGACCTAAACCCTCAGAATATCTCGCAGCATAGCTAGATATTCTGAAGTACAAAGAAACTACATTTAACATTCATTAAATTTTACAATCAATTCTTTTGCCCTGGAGATCCTTAGTTGTCTTTACATTTTCAATCTAAAATTTGTTGAATGGAAAAAATCTTTTCCAATTCTCTCAATTCCACTGGTACTTTCCATTCCATTAATATTTTTGAGCTAAAATACAGCCCTTGACAGTCTTCGTGAATGATGGATCATGTATGTATGTATGTATGTATGTATGTATGTATGATGCAATTATAAGGCAGAAGTGACTTGGGTGATCTTCAAGTTTCTTCCAATCCTTACATTCCATGTAATTGTTATATGTAACATTTTGCAACATTCAAGGGAACATCTACCCTTTTCATTTTAGCAGAAGCTAGGATATATCAAGAATGACCTTTCTGATGTTTCTGAATTAAATTTTTTTAAAAAAGCTATGGAATAGCCGTAGGATGTATGCTCAGCAAAAACATAAAAAGCCAACCAATAAGGATATAAAAGAACAAGTTTAGCAAGAAAGTAATCTGGCAACATCTATTTATTTTCATCTCTATATTTTTCTCCCTGATGCTAGATGAAATCTGGAGCCCGTAGGCCCTTTTATACCAGGCTAATGGCTAGCTCATCTACTTCTATTCCATGCTACCATTTGAAACTGATGATTGATGGGGCTACAGGTAGTCCTCATCTTACAACCATTTGCTTAACAATCTTTCAAAGTTACAACGGCACTGAAAAAAAGTGACTTGGAACTGGTTCCTCACACTTAATGACCATTGTAGCATCCTCAGTTGCATGATCAAAATTTGGGTGACTGGTAAACAGCATATATTAATAATGGTTGCAGTATTAATAATGGTTGCAGTGTCCCAGGTTACTTGATTGCCATTTCCAAACTTCCCAGACAGATTCTGACGAGCAAAGTCAGTGGGGGAAGTCGGATTCATTTAAGGACCATGTGATTGCAGTGATTCACTTAACCCTGACAAAAAAAAAAAAGATTGTAAAATTGGGCAGGACTCATTTAACAACCGCCTTGCTTATCAATAGAAATTCTGGTCCCAAATTGAGGACTGCCAGTATAGTTTCTAAGAGATGTTTAGCTTTTATTCCAAGCTGACCTGAAAAATCGACATGCAAGATTAAAAAAACTGACAGAAATTTAGTTTTATTTCTCAGAAGATAAACATCTATTTTCATGTAGCTGTAAAGTAACAAATGCAGGATTAGACACTAACACTGAGCTTCATGTACTTTTCTATATAAGCCCTCTATTCACCAAATTATAATGCTTCCCATGAGGATTAATGAGATGAGAGGTTTTCATCTCCCCCTTTGCTGCTTTGGTGGCTGCTCATCTGGAAAACAAAGCAGTTTGATGACAGACTATTGCTATTTTATAGTGGCGGCTTTCACTTGGATATAGAGATAGTCCTCAACTTACAACAGTTCATTTAGTGACCATTTGAAGTTACCATGGCACTGAAAATAGTGACTTATAACCTTTTTCATACTTATGACCGTTGCAGCATCCTCATGGTCACATTTTTTTTATTTTTTATTTTTTTTTAAATTTGATTTATATGCCGCCCTTCTCCAAAGACTCAGGGCGGCTTACAATGCGTTAAGCAATAGCCTTCATACTTTTGTATATATTTTATACAAAGTCATCTTATTGCCCCCATAATCTGGGTCCTCATGATTTACATTTGGGTCCTCGGGATTTACAAATCCCACATGATTTACATTTGGATGCTTGACAACTGATTCACATTTATGACAGCTGCAATGTCCTGGACTCCCGGGGTCATGTGATCCTTTTTGCAACCTTCTGACAAGCAAAGTCAATATGGGGAAGCCAGGTGCACTTAACAGCCATGTTACTAATTTAAGAACTGTAGTGATTCACTTAACAAATGTGGCGAGGAAAGTTGTAAAATGGGGCAAAACTCACTTAACAAATGTCTCACTTAAAACCATAAATTTTGGGCTCAATTGTGATCATAGGTTGAGGGGTACCTGTAGATGAGGATTCTATTGGTGTCTACTTATACACACTTACAGAGGTGGGCAGGGCATTCTATCAAACTTCTTTGTTGAAAATTTGAGACAAATTGAGAAGCTCCTTATTTACTCCTTATCTGAGTTTGATGTGCTATTGTGTTGGGGTGAGTAATAATGTCTAGCTATCATTCTTGTAACTGCTCTGAATTACAGTGTAGCCTTTTGTAATTTATTAATACCTCTAATCTAGCACCCAGCAAGGAAACAATAATAAAATATATTTTTTTCAGAAATCTACTAAAGATATTATGGATACAACAAGAACAAGAGTAGCTGGCAAATATTATTATTTTGAAGCTTTTAGAAGTATCAGCCTCACAGAGGTATCAATTGTAGCACAATGATATCAAGCGTTAATATTGTGACATCATTTTGAAAATGTGATGAATTACATCATTTAGTTAGTTTACACAAAAACCTATGCAACACCATTATTTTCACGTGCAACATTACTTATGCTATAATAAACTGTGTGTTGTTATCAGCCCGTTATTTTACAATTTAAATTTAATCTATAGTGATTGACATAATACTGATCAAACCAGGGGTGAAATGCTCTGAAGTCTGCTACCGGTGCGCTTCGCTACCGGTTTGCTTTGTGTGCGCATGCACGGTATACGCCAATTGTGTGCTTTGCACGCATGCGCACCGCAGGCACTACTGCATGGCGCTGAAAAAGGAGGATTAAAGAAGCCTTTTCTAAGTCTGCAAAGGTAAGTAGAACAGTGAGGGGAGGGAACAGCTGTGCCGCGTGATTTAGATTTGTTAGAAGCAGGACTTTCTGCTTTCTAGCGAATATAAATAGCGCGGCACAGCTGATCATTGGAAATATCGGTTCGCCCAAACCGGTAGCATTTTTTACTACCGGTTCAGGCGAACCAGTCTGA